CTCACGGTTTTACAACACGACTACGGCTTCATTTATTCACAATGCAGGTATCGTACCCGCTTCCCCTGGTTACCTTCATTCACCCTCCGTTCGCTTCCCTTTCTCTTCGAATTCTTCCGCTCTCGTTCTCCTCCCCCTCCCCCGCCCTCCCATTTAGCATGCGGAGCCTGACGCGTAGCCGGAGGTGAGCACGGAGACCGGGGGAAAGGGCTGATGGCCACCACTCCAGCCACCGACTAACATCCACTGCGGCGGCTCTCTAATCCGACGGGATCCGGCGACCCAGACGCTGGCCTTGTAGCAACAACGGCATGAGTTAGGACAAACAGAGCCCCAGACCTCGTGATACCGTCGGCATCAAGAGCCCGGTGGGACAAACAGAGCCCCAGACTTCGTGATACCGCCGGCATCAAGAGTCCGGTAGGACAAACAGAGCCCCAGACTTCGTGATACCGCCGGCATCAAGAGCCCGGTAGGACAAACAGAGCCCCAGACCTCGTGATACCGTCGGCATCAAGAGCCCGGTTGGGGACAAACAGAGCCCCAGACTTCGTGATACCGCCGGCATCAAGAGCCCGGTAGGACAAACAGAGCCCCCGACCTCGTGATACCGCCGGCATCAAGAGCCCGGTAGGACAAACAGAGCCATAGATCTCGTGATGCCTTCGGCATCAAGCGCCCGGTGTGATAAACAGAGCCCCAGACCTCGTGATACCGTCGGCATCAAGAGCCCGGTGGGATAAACGGAGACTTCGCTACGTCTTGTGATACAGTCGGCTAAAGATGCGTGGTGGGATGGACAGAGCTCTGGCGCGGCTGCTCCTTTAAGTTTGACATCGGGGCTGCTCCTGTGGGCGGCTGACTGCTAAGATCATTGGTGTCACCATTCCTGGACTGGAAACTGGGCCTAGTGATGCTTTCCTACGGCGGTAACTGAGCCAGGATTTTTCGATTAGCAGCATGACGCCAACAATCATCCAGTTTCTTGCCTATGATAGCAATTAGGATCCCGTAGCGCCAGAATACCAGTTTTCCGGGACTGTGTCTTTTCCCTGCGACCTTGACTCCGCTATCCTCCCTATGTGGACCTGGAGTTACTGAAACGCTCGCCAGGAAGAGGCAATCATTACTAGCAGACACAGAAACGGCAACAGGTCAACCTGTTTGGTTACGCAGCTGCTGAAGTGCTCGTCAGGAAAAAGTGCAAGAACTAATAAAGCGATTAAAGGGATGCGGACGGAAGAAAGACAATAAAGTTCCTTTTTCCGCCTGACGCAGGCGGGGGCACCTCCCACCACTCAGTACCTCAGAGGTACCTCCCGCTCATACCGCAGCGTGTCGCCGGCCAGCCACACTTCAGCGGCAGCCTCTTACGAAGCAGAGCATCGGCTAGATACGCCGCGGCATGACATGATTTGGTGATGGGAAGGAAACTGATAAAGTTTCTAATGATGTTAGCCTTCTGTAGACCATCTCCGTCATGGATCTACTCAACGTCTGATCTCTCTGATTTGGTGCGTCGGCCTCTTACCTATCATTTGTCCCTTCTATCTTTTTCTGCATCTATCTCACTCCTTGTTTTTCTCTCTCCCTCTTTCCTCCCCTGTCCCCCCCCCCCTCTATCTTCCTCCTCCACTCCGCTTCCCACTTCTTCTCATTCCAGGCCTGTCGCTCCATATCTCTCCTTCTTCTTAATCCCTAACTCTCCTTTAATGCTATCTGCACAGGGCGAAACGGGGGTCAGAAAGAGGGACATTGCTCAGGCTCTTGAGTTATCCCCAGGCCCCGACCGCCACGGCCAGCTGATGGTCGGTCGGCACACTGGCGCGCAAGCCTGCCCTCCCGGTCTCGGCCCCCTCCCCCTCCCCGTCTCCCGATCAGCCCGTCAACCAGCGTTGCACGTGAAGGCCTTGGTTTGCCACGGCCAGGGGAGGGCTGCGGCATGACGGGGTGGGGGTCAGGGCCTGGCCAGCCCGGCTCCGCCCGGCCCGCCGGCCCAGCCCCCCCCCCCCCCCCCCCCTCCACCACCGCGGCCCGCTGGCTGTTTTACCGTCCGATGACAGGCTCAGCGTCCGGGTGCTGGGGATGGCTCAGCGTCCGGGTGCTGGATGGCCCAGCGGATGCGCGCAGATGTCTGTGGTCATGTTACCTGGCCGGCGGACGTGGTGCTAGAGTTGGCTGGTTGTGGCGACTGATCCCACGCGACGATCAGTGAATGCAACGGTAATGCAGGTTCGCGCACGACGGGATAAGACGGCCGAGGCCGCAGACGCCTGCCGGTCCCTAAAGCCTGACGGACACCCAGCGAGAGGCTCTGAATGCAGGAGAGATGAACGGAGATCTTGGAGCCAAAGCACTTGTACTAAATTCTATTGAAAATCAGAGTCAAATCGACCCCAGAATCACTCTGAATTTCGGGGAATTCAGGTTGATTTCAATCAGGTTAGAGGCATGTAAAAAAACATTTATGTTTGATCCGAAATCAAACATGAGACATCTTGTTACCACAATAGAACACGGAATAGATTACTGCTCATAATTAGGTAAAAATGAGTCACTGATTAAGACAAAGTCAATCTTTCTAATAATCGGTCTTTACTTATACACAAATTTGTTGGTGATGCCCGTTGAACGACATGTGAGCCATAAGCCAATCTACCAACAAACATAAGACACATCCAGATAACATGCAAAGACCACATTCGTGTTATGTATCTAGCGAAAAAATATTCAAAAGCATTTTGTTGCTCAAGTTAAAAAGAAATGCATTGGGTTTTCCAGTACCGATCACCACATCGTACTTTGTCAAGAATCTGAGAATCCCAATGACGGAGATGTAAAACCGGTTACTAAAAATCGGTAAGCTTTCAAATATCACACACACACACACACACACACACACACACACACATATATATATATATATATATATATATATATATATATATATATATATATATATATTATATATATATATATATATATGATATTTGAGGGAAAGAGAGAGAGAGAGAAGGTTACATATATATAAAGTGAAGTTCGAGGTGCCTCGCAAACCGATCTGTAGGTTCACCCAAGGCTTGAATAAAAAGGTGGACCGAGAGAAAGTGCATGTCATGCCACGCAAGCCATGCCGGTCATGTTTGTGACCTTGGTGCTCGAGCAGCCTGTGAACGCATCTGGCAGATGGCGTTTTCTACTGGCTGCGATACTCAAAAGCTGGCCGATTAATTACCGTATATTGCATCCCCAGTACATCCTTTGATTATAATTCGCAATGTTTTGTTCCATTAGGTTTTAGGGTGTCATAAATATGTATAGCCAAATCCTTCAGAAGTCAATGAAGTCACTGCAAGGATGCATTTTTTTGCGCTTGGGAAGGCACGTTTCATGCTTTGCAGGCCCGCGTGATCCCAAATCAGACGTGGAATCAGCAAGGTACGTAGGAGTGAGTGAAGTGGCTTGAATAAAAAATTGATTCGACTCAGTTTGAAAAAGTCTGATGGAAATCAGGAGTGAGCTTCCAAAGTTGTGGAGTCAGAATCCATTCCAATCCACGCCAAGTTGAGCACAGCGCATATCATCAATGCTGAGCAGTCAAAGCTGTACAAGCGCAGTCTCCAGCATGAAATCTGGGCAGCCAGCGCCGCAGCCGCCCTGAGCGACCGAAAGGGACGTGAAGCTGGACGCCGAGCTAAATAGCTGGCGCCGACAAAACTACCCTTCCTAACCGCTCATGGGCCCCTGGCTGGACCGAGGGAGTTCCCACGCGGGCCACTGCCGGCCGTATCGGGCTGGATCTCCAGACGGCAGGAGCGCCGATAGTTGCCGGCGCGCGCCGTCCGCTAAGCCGCGGCGCGCCGTCACCATTGCGCCATGTTTGTGCGGTCGGGCGCGTCAGCGGCGCCTTTCGCCGCCGCCGCGCCGCCGCCGCCGGGTGCCCACTGATGACGGGGCGGGTACGGGCGGTGCGCCAACGGTCACCGGCTGTCCGGCGACTCCTGACGGGCGCTGGCGCTGCACGTGTGCGTGCCGTCCCACGAGCTGTTGGTACTGCTCCGCCCGCCCCTCGGCAGGTGCCACCGATCTGCACATTACGGTCCCCAGATGCGCCAGCTTGTCAGCGATTGCGCGGCGTGGCATTGGCTGTATGTAAATGCGTTCCAGTGACAGCTTAATTAAAATGGTGCGAGCATCTGGCGAAAAGAGCCGATTTGTGGCGGCACGCTGACATAAATGGACAGTGGAAACCATCGGCAGACAGCTACAGACGTGTGCACCAAAGCGCAAGGAACGCATGGAGTCTGTGGACGGTGGATGCCTCCGCGCATACCAATAAATTCCACCTTGTCTTCCTGAGTTCTTCCTGAGTTCTGCCGCTGGCGGCGATTCTGCCGGCCGGGATACGGCGAGAGCGGCGGAGGCTGTGACGGAGAGAGCGGCGGAGGCTGTGACGAGGCGGCCTGTTACCGGACGTGTCGGCTCGCTGGCTGTCCGGCGCCCCTGTCGCGGTATTCACAGCGCGTGACGAGCCGCGGAGCCGTGTCATTTGCAGCGACGCCGGTCGCCAAAATCACTCGGCTTGCATCAGCGATTGTTGACAAATGACAGTGTCTCCTGGGGTAAAACCCCACGTGGCTGGAGGTGGAGGCTCGGGTATCTCGCGGGCCCCTGCGAGGGACGTGCGCCCTCGGGGGTAGAAGCTGGTTCTCTTCAGCACGATCTGAACGCAACCACACTTGCATGTACTGTCAATGTGTGTTTCACGTAGAGCAAGCGGACCCAAGCCACGGCCAGGTCGATGGCTGTGACGCCCAGAAGCGTCACACAGAAGGACCCAGCCCATCGGAACCTGTATGGAACTTCCACAACGGTTGCCATAAAACATAGATTTTGGCGAATTACGTATTTCATGTGCCGAAACCTCACGCCAAAGTTGTGCAAGAGGCGTGAAGTCGTCGCTCACACCAATGTCCCAGCAGCGAGCGGTTCGCACTTACCAATTGTAAACGTGTTGAATATGGTTCCCACCACGGCGAAGAGAAGAATCGTTCCCAGGTTATCAAAGAACATTCTGAAAAGTCAAGGTCGCTGGGTCAGCCGGGTACACAAAGGTAAGCTTTGACACGATCCCAATGACTGCGCTTCCACAGCGGAGCCCCCGGCCGCTGCGCCGTAGCTCTACCTATCCAAGACGTGGTAGACTCAAGCATCACACAATAGCCCGCTGTGGCCACTCTTGCCAGGGGATTGTGGTAGCGTGAGCACTTATCAGTCACGGGGCATTGTGGCTGCCTCAAGTTTCCGCTATTGTCAGCGGCTACGATGTGTGCTAAAGCGATCTGCGAAGCTGACATTCCGAGGCGTGGCTAAGCACTGGCGAGCGACTGAGCCTTGCCGATGGACGAGAGAGCCGCGCGTGCGACTCAAACGCGTTTGAGTAGTATGACGGCCGACACATTAACATTCCAGAACGCAGCCTTTTCGATAAGCTTGTCACTTTATATTCAGCAGCCGTCCCTCGACATAACATGACCCGTGAGCGTGTGCATACGGTGCGGGAGGCTTGGGTAACAGAGCAGTCAAGGGCGGAGTGGATGGGGTATGTACTGTTATGAAATACCGAGCTGGATGAATTTCAGAATTAGCAGTCGGTCCCAGAAAGTCACGCCGAGGTGAACCGACCGAGCGCCCGTCTTGGGCTCCGGATCCGTCTGGGTAGTAACGCGTGTGGCCGCACTAGGTCATCCCAGTACCGCCGGAAATGGAGGCGTTAACTTTCCAAAATTGCTGACGGCAGCCCGCCACACGAGGCCAGCTCGGGATTTAACCCTGTTGTTTTAGGTATGTAAATGCTATGGCATGTTAAGGGGAGCTCATTTGGCCCCCTTGATATATCGAGAACTATTCGACTGATTATCAAAGACAAAACGACGTTCAATCCATTCCAAGATCTACAAGTCTGAAAAGAATGCCTCAAATGTTGGAAAGGGAGTAGCAGCGATCAGGGAACACAGGCTATTCGGGAGTTTTTGCTTCTACACACATGACGGGCTTATCAGCCGATTTTAAGGTAACTAACACAGATCGATAGCTAGTGATTCTAAGGCTGGTAAGTCAGAGCGTTAATGTTAATTAAATGTTTTGCTATTTAAATTTAAATTAAATGTTAATTAAATGTTAATTAAAAATTCACGGACGTATCCAGAAGACAGGCATATGGATGATAAGAAAAACATATCCTCAAAGCTTTCTGTCGAATTCACGTGAGGCAAATGCGATAGCCACAGTACTGAGATCTTCTCTAAATGAATTGCGGTGCATAGGCAACGCAGTTTGACATATTTTGTAAGCGTATCCAAGTTTCAGAACGATGAGAGCAGGAAGACGCGATTTGGGCGTGGCCTTTCGAAGCGGCAGCCGTCCTCGGATGGCTCGCTGTGGGCGGTCAGTTCGCTGGTTCGCTGTGGGCAGTCAGTTCGCTGGTTCGCTGTGGGCTGTCAGTTCGCTGGTTCGCTGTGGGCAGTCAGTTCGCTGGTTCGCTGTGGGCTCAGTTCGCTGGTTCGCTGTGGGCAGTCAGTTCGCTGGTTCGCTGTGGGCTGTCAGTTCGCTGGTTCGCTGTGGGCAGTCAGTTCGCTGGTTCGCTGTGGGCAGTCAGTTCGCTGGTTCGCTGTGGGCAGTCAGTCTCCGTGTACCGCAATAGCCCCTCCCCTCCTCTTTTGTCGCTTCTCGACTCGCCTTCGACAAACGTTATCTTTTAGCTGATGTTTACTTCACATAAGTGAAAAGTGTATGCAACATGAACGTTTCAGGGTTACATGTTTCAAACGACATAACCCCTTGTACTCCCATCTCTGGAAGCGCCCCTGTGGATTTCTTTTTTTCATTTCCTCCTGCTTCACACGTGCATTAACTTTCTTCCTTAGCCATTCTTAGCACGGTTGTGCTGGCCCAGGTAGCATACGCCCTCCGCACCCAGTTTAATCCAACTCAACACGCCTTTTTCACTGCGTATATCCATTGGTTGCGTAAATATTGACGAAAAGTACAGCGCTCTGCATTTAGATCGCGAGCAACATCCCTTCTATACCTGCGTTGATAACCCGCAATACTCTTCAAACGGTGTAAAAATTCACCGGTTTTTGAGCCGCAGGACCACCTTTACCACGCTACTTTTTAAGTTGCAATAACGACACCGGTGGTACAGCTGTTCCATGCACCGGAAGCAACAGTAAGTCCTGGAAACGCAAGTCCGCGCGCAGAACGTCGGCACATGGAACCGCTTACGCAGCCCACGTAGAATAAACCTTGACACTTGTGCAAAGAATGTCCAGGAAAAGCCGGGACTTTTCTGCGACCTTTTCCAATCACGTCCAAGAAATTGGCAAAAACCTGAGAGAGCTGAATCCCATTCAATTCAATAGCAGGATTAACCTGCAAAAGTGCAGCGTGCTAACGTGTCCCAGCATTTGCCTGCAAACCTGGATTTAAAGGCAAAAGGCAAAATTGTCAGGCTTATAAAACTTGAGTTGACTTCGTAAGCTGTTCAGTGCATTTGCGAGGAGCATTATCCACTTACATAACACAGCAGTAATAGCCTTATTCCCCGAAGAAAAAAAACAGGATGGTGGAATGATTTTCGGTGCGGAATTTACCGCGTGTTGAGTGGCAGAGACTGGCATTTTGAAATCGGTCTCAAAATGGCACATATAACCAACGGTTTTCAATTTTTGAGACGGTGTGCTCTGGGTCTGAGTTCTTGACTCCCATCTCTTCTAAGCCTGTTGGGCCCATTAACCTGTCCAGTTTCGCGGACCACGGGTGATGTCGAATGACAACGGATTTAGCGGATGAACCTGCCATAATGATGATACGTTGATAACAGGTCCAGAGGCTGTTATCGCCCAACCAACCCAGCTACGCAACCTTTTGTCGACCTGTCCAGCCTATTCGCCAACTCAATCGCTGCTTGAAAGCCCCCTCTGTTGTGTTGGGTGTAATCGGCGTTTATTAAATTGCAGAAAATGCGCCTTTTAATGTTCCAAGCAGTGCCACGTTAGGCTTCACATTAAGGCCCTGTGCACCGTGACGCAAGCGATGCCAGTGTCAAGTCTAACGCCGTGCCCGCATGTCGCCTCTCGCTCACCTGTTGGGCATGAAGTAGCCAGCGTCCAGTATGATGGGCGGAAGCATGAAGAGGAAGAAGGTGTCGGGGTCCAGGTGGTGGGCCGCCTCGACGTCCCCCAGGCCTCCGAAGTACAGGATGACGCCCACGATGATGCCGATGACGATCAGCAGGCACGACTCGGGAAACATGTGCGACAGCTTCGGGAACATGTGGAACCCTGCCAGTCGGACAAAACGGAAGCTCTCAACGCTGCTGGCTAGCGAGGCACGTGCAGCAGGCTTACGCCAGTGCTGAGCCCTGCCGGAACAAAGCAGCTCAGTGCTGCCATGTGTCTGTGAGCTCGTCAGCTGCTTCGACCGACGGACCTGTTTTGGGCGGCTCATTAAAATTATTGTTTAGAAATACAAAAGCTGTCAGGACAGGTACAAGTGCTGTTCGAAACTAACAGACAATATTGCCTGTTCTAGAAAGGCCTGTCTGAGTTTTGCTTTGCGGTAGATAATGCGTGAGAGTAATTCAAAAGTTCGTCGCTTCTCTAAAGACTGCGTGTTGTTCCTCGTCTGGTTCGACTGTAGCCCTTTCGTCGGGCGTATTAACAGACAACGTAGTGAAACTCACGGGTCGAGAACAACCAGACGGGCGTAATGAAACAAACGCGAGATATCAATCACAACTATTGGTGTTTAAAGACATCTTCAGCACCTATTTCAGCTCGTGTCGGCAGTGCTCACGCTGATAGTCGCCGGGATCGAAAACATTTGGCCGGGCGCCAGGCTCGAACCCTACACTTTTCCGACTTTGGCCGCGGGTGGGAGCTATTCCAAATGAGCCCCGCCATCTCCAGATGCAAGCAGGCCAGCATTATGCCACGAAGACAATAAACAAAGTTCATGCGTTAACTCGCATTCATCGTGTGATTCGACTTGCGTTCACATTTATGGAATTGTGTCACTTTCTCTGACCATGCCCACTTCATCCTTATCCATTCCTATCAGCGATTTGAGCTTGGCGCCTTCCACTGGCGAGCTCCCGTTTGAGCTTGGCGCCTTCCACTGGCGAGCTCCTGTTTGCATGCCCCAGCCCTGCCTTACTCAGGACCTCACTACTTTTATGTCCTGCACAGCATGCACCTATAGCCTCCCCTACCGTCACCTCCCCACATCTATTTACATATCCAAGTCACCGCCACAGAGGCATCAACAACAGCGGTACAACAACAACAGATGCATCAACAACAGCGGTACAACAACGACAGATGCATCAACAACAAGGGCAATGTGTAACCCAACGGGAAGTTGTAATGCGCAAAACCACCGAAATGTTTGAACCCACCGGGAAGTCATAATGATTGAAATCACCGAAATGTGTGAACCCACCGGGAAGCAATCTACAGCATAACTGCAGATTCGGGAGCAAGCAGAACCATGCCTGGGACAGGACAGCAGTCAGTGATGCAGACTGAGCTGCTGAGAGGTCTTTTCCTCAGATGGGGAGCGTGTGCGACAGCTTTGATGCTCTCGAATAAGTGGGATCCTGCTAGGAAAAACCAGGATGGCCACTTGACTCAAGGGTTTTCCCGCCTATCAGTGCAGAGTGTAAGTGCATGAGCATCTCCCTTCTCATTACCATATGACTTGTCAGCACCTTAGTCATGATTTGCGATTACGGAAGTCCGTAAGCTTGCATGCAGTTGTGGGCCAAGATAACTGAGCTAACTGGCTGGCTGCCGATTTCAACGCTCGGTCGCGTGCTAAACGTCGGCGGCCCGAAGTATGTTCAGCGTTCGTGTCTCTCGGTCCTAACGCATTTAGTAGCAGTGCAACCATTAGTCCCCTTCCGACACAACTGGTGTTGGAGCTGGAAACGCTTCTGGTTCCATTAATACGCCACCATTAGCAACGCATTAGCGCAAAGTGGTCCACGTTACGGAAGACAGCGGGGTGCTTAAAACGAGAACTCCGCTTGCCCGGCTGCAGAGTGGAGAAATTAGACCCCAATGGACGGTGCAGCGAACACCTTGAAGGAGCATCGGCTCTGAACTGGGCGATGCAGGGACTTTCTGCGGTCTGTGACCTTCCATCCGGGATTTCATCGGTGACTCACGCGGCCGCACTTAGTAACCCGCCTCGATCACCGCTGGGGCCCTGCAGCTAGCCCCGCTGCGCTCTGCCCCGGCTGCGCACACTTGTTTGCAGGCTCCGGGCTGAGATACTGGCCTCCTCTGAAGTGGGGCGAGGTCGGGTCGGACCCGGCCCTCCTGGCTGACAGCCGTGCCCGCTGGTCCGCGCCCACCCGGCCGCCGCAAGCGCTCCTCGATAGCGCTCAGTCGGGCGCGTCGAGTCCCAGCTGCCCGTCTGTGCCCTCGCAGCTCCGGCCTCCCGAACGACAGCTGAGAGTCATGCAGGAGCGTTGGTTGACAGCTGGCCCGTAGACTGCTTTTCGACTTCACTAGGTCACACGATTTGGGCAGTCCAAATAGGTCTTGTTCTGAGGCGTCAATTCATACATCTGCACAGACACCAAAAACGCGACATCCTGTCGGCCGCAGCCTCGCCCACTGGCTTTGAAACTCCCGCTCTCGAACCCCAAAGACTACACCATCTGAGCCTCAAGGTCCTGTGGCGCGACCAAAAAGTTCCCTACAACGTGGGCCAGAACTCGCCCAAACACACACAAAGCCATTGTTCACGCTACAGATCCGGCCTCCGACCGCCGATTGATCTACGCCGACGCAGACAGACGTGCGTCATACCTGCTGAGGCCGAGGGTGTTTTCCTGTGGGAGCAGGGCGTGACCCCAGACACTTCCGGGAGCTGTTCCCGGCCGCGTGTTCCAGCAGCCGGCTCGCGTGCAGGTGCGCGGCTTGCGGTGTGACAAATCATTACCGCACAGGATATGACAGTCGGTTGCCGTGAGCAGTGCAGAAGTAATAGCTGTCGCGTGGCCAAAATAGCGTCTGGGTGCACGTTTAAAGGACAACGGGTATCCATACACCGTGCAAGATTGGCATGAGTTTCGTTGGATGTCTGGAAGTACGTGTGGGGTGGTAATGACTGAAACAGCACACCCAGCCTTTTGGAACGCAGTCGGATTGGTGTTGAGTAGCTGATTAGTTTCTCAGGAAACCGCTGGCACCGCATGATGTCAGTTATTTTGGCACCTTGGTGCGACGGCGTCCCTTATAAGGTAGGTGTGGGGGGGGGGGGGGCAGGCCAAAAAGCCGCCGAACGGTGGTGTCAAGGTCACGAGATAGCAGCACATACGTAAGGACTATTGTGGGTAAGGGCGGGGTTCTCTGGTTGCGATTCAGAGGCTGAGATAGTGTTGCAAGCTTTCACCACTGCTGAGCTAACTGAACAGATGTCTGTTCCGGGAGGAAATATTCATGTCAGTCGCAAACATGCAAGTTCGCCCGGGATCGTCTTAGAGCATAATGACGTGAAGCTCCAAACGCCTCTGGGCTTAAAACCATGCCAGTTTAAGGTGGCTTACGATATTTTGACAGAATGGGCCTGGTTCGGATGTGACGCTGATCTCGTATCTCAAAAATCTGAAGTGCTTTCTCCGCCGGTCAGGTTTGTCAAGGCTCAAAGTGACACCAAAGCATGATAACTTTTCACGAGAAATCATGCAATTAACGCTTCAGCACATAATCTAGTTAAAAGTAATGGTGAGCTTAGACGTGCACCAAAAAGCAGTAATGCGAATGACACATCTGAGTTTTATTGTCTTGCATTTGAAAATGTCTGAATACAAAAGAAATATGGCTTGCGGGGTAGAACTCAAACAGGTTTTCCAGTTCGGAACCGTAAACCACAGCAGCGCTTGGCTCAGCAGGCTGCAGATTGAAAAGAATGAGGCATGGAAGACTGAGCATGCCGACTATGCATCTGTCACAGCACGGCTTCGCAATTCCCGTTTCGTACACAGCTGGCCCAACGAGAGGCGTTGCACATATTTTTTGGTCATGGAGGGGCTTTTGCAAAGCATCACAATCATGCTTGAGACGAGCTCGCGTCCTACTGCCACACATGTACCCCAGGTGCGCGCGTCGCCGGCACGTCACCGCCCAACGCTCGATCTCGACTTAGTGGTCGCCCGCCGCACTTGTTAACTGCACGCACAAACGCCACATGCCCGTTTGAAATAGAGTAGACAGTTTTCGACCAAAGGTTCTCGCGTTTTTGAGCGGCAAGGCCCTCCACTTCATGCTCATTGGGACTTGATAGCGATGCTACGAAGTAAAGTTTTTGTTTTACAGTTGGTCTTAGTGAAGTCCAAAAGTGCTCCGTTTAAAATGAATATCTCTCAGAATTAACAACGCAGATGAGCTACAATCAGATAAAATCTGCATTCATGCAAACTGCTTGCGTACAAAATCAAGTTTCTGAAATAGAGCAGCGTAGCAAGGCCCAGACAGCCAACCTTTCCCAACTACCCCGAACTCATCTTCCATCCAACTTTACCTGGGTAAGTGCACTCGCCCGACGCCACCCATACATATTCATCCATGTGGGTACGCCAAAAGCGCCGCGAGCGCCAAAATCCTGCAGAGGCAAGGTCAGCGTACGCAACCGACCAGCGATGTCTCACGCGGCGTACCGCCGGACACACGTGCTCGCATGACCGAAGAGGCCAAGTGGCGTGCCATCATGTAAATTGAACGGGAAGGAGGGTATTTGGAGCACGCGCTCTCGTGAGCACGTGACTTGAGTGATGGTTCCATGATTGTATGCGAATAAATCTGCATACACAACGTCGTGGAATGAAATAGATTTCCCAATATGATTGATAGCGGAAGGAGTTGTCAGACAAATGTCGTACATTTGTTTCGGCATCCAGCATCTCAAACTGCAAACCTGATTGTCTGCTGTTATGCTGAAAGCGTAAAACGATGCTGAGACCGAGACCTAGAGAGAGACAGGGAGACAGGAAGAGAGAAAGAGACAGGGAGACAGAGAGAGACAGAGACAGAGACAGAGACAGAGACAGAGACAGAGACAGAGACAGAGAGAGAGACAGAGACAGAGACAGAGACAGAGACAGAGACAGAGAAGAGACAGAGACAGAGACAGAGACAGAGACAAGACAGAGACAGAGACAGAGACAGAGACAGAGACAGAGACAGAGACAGAGACAGAGACAGAGACAGAGACAGACAGGAGACAGAGACAGAGACAGAGACAGAGACAGAGACGAGACAGAGACAGAGACGAG